TGGACATTGAAACTGGGACCCTGGGCAGGACTCGGGTCGCCTTGCTTAACTCGTTTGCTTGGCCTTGGAAGAAAACCGGACATAAAAGGAACTATATGTATAATAGGATTGGAGTTGGAGAAATAAAATTAAGCAAATAAGATACGAARCATTGCACATAATAAAAGCAGCAAGGAGAAATGAACCTTCTTTTGAATTTGAGTCTCGCTTCAGTGATTGTTACTGTTTGGTGAATTCTTTTGCTTTATCATTTTGATAGTTTAGCCTGTTAGAGCTCGCTTATGCTTGAGCGACAGACAGGTAGTCGCATATGTTCGGTCTTGTTTGAGGTCTCTAGTGGTCACTTGCTGAAGGATTGGCTGACCGTTGGATTAGTAGGAATTATGGGAGCCTCCTTCCTTAAGGGAGAATGCTGCCGAAATTTCTGCTAAATTTACGAAGTCAGTCAAAACCTGTGAGTCTTTTGAGGTTAGACTTAGGACTGTCTTTGGGATTAGTAGAGATTTTTGAAAGCCTTCCTACTAATGGAAGTGCTACCGAAATTTCTACTAAACCCAAAGAAGTCGAGGTTAAGTAGCTTTTAGGTCAGGAGTTTGTTTAAATTTGGATTTGTATATTTTCTGTGGGCTCACCCCTTTAGGGGCCCTTTAGGGGAGATGCTGCCCAAATTTTTGCTTTTTTTACATCGTTACTGGGCGATATAGCTAGAGGAAGTGTGATACGGAACTCTTCTCCGATAATGCAACAGATGGTGGCTACGTTATTTGTGACGCAGGTTATAGCTACCTACGGGAGATCAGGTGTGATAAGCTTCATCAATTTTCTGCTATCACTGAATAGCAGGTCAGTTAGTCGATCGAACTGATCGATCTACGGCTCAGCCATGCCCATCGTGATACCCATGTCATGATGCTTGGAATCTCCTTGCTATAATGACATTCCCTCAAAATGACAACCTTTCTATCCCTCTTACCCATCTCCTTGAAATGAGTATGAAAAAAGTTGGGAAAGCTGAATAGAAAGTGGGGGTATGCCATTGTTAAACGAGGGGGTCGGTGGAAGGGGCATGTGGGACATGAATTGGGAGACAAAGGGTTGACCACGTTAGTGGTATTTTGTGTACGAATGTCAATGGGATTTTGTGTGGATGCAGGTTGGTATTAGAAGCAAGGAATCGCTCCTCGAATAATAATGCTTTGGAATGATGTGCTTAAGGCGGGTAGCAAAAATTAACTCGGGACTGTGAGAATGACTTACCCTGACTTCCCTCGAGAGTCTCTCTATTTCCTTCTAAACCCTCGATCTGCACTTTGGATTCCTGATGTTGACCTTGAAAACGGACTAAGCGATTATGTGAGAGAGATGGTATTGGAAATGCTACGGAATTTCCTTCTTTCTCTGAGTGATGGTCTTCTGAACCATCGCATGACGTTACGCTTATCCTTATTGCGGTTCAAAGTTGAACTGGATAGTCCGCGAGGGGTAAGAGAACACCTTCATCTGCGGTGTAAGCTCTCCCTCGCGACAGACTCTCTTCTTAGCCCTACATGCGAGACGCGAGAGGCTTGAGGGTCAGTAATCACTCTTAGTGGACGCCTTCAATATTGGAAGGCTAACTCTTTGGGGAGTAAGCAAGCCAACACCTGAGTGTCTAAGGCACTCCTCGTTTCCATCGAGAAGTGTGCGGTAATGATTACTCCGTAAAACACCATTACGGAAAAAGGGGTTTGTTTTCAAGCTTCATGGCTTCAATATGATTAAATCGGTTCCTTTCATGGATTTTATATTGAGTATTTGATCAGATTTTGTGAGGAACAGGATGGGAAAAATTATGGGTGGTTCCGTCAAGGGACTAGGCGATAATCCAATTAAGTTTATCAAGTTTTCTTCGAGTGGAGGACTACCGCGTGGTCACCTAATCGTCCTAGTCGACCGGCGTATGGCCCCGTTTAGGAACTCAGCCAGCCTATGACGAGGGTCTGCGTACGGGTTCGATCCAGGCGTTAGCCACACGTGCCCCTATGCTACAGCGAACGAGCAAACGCCCTCGGCTGGCCTACCTCTGCGACTGCATCATAAAAACTCTCGCACGTGGGTCAGTAGCTCGGCAGGGATACGCCCACCCACGGGATGGTGACAGCTCCCAACGGGTGGAGGTAAATTGTGCCTCGCGCAAGCTCTGTCCTGTCGCAGGAGCGCGCGAGAGGTATGGCTGGCGCACTCGGCCAGAGCGGCACCAGGGCGCGCGTTTGTTTTTGCGCGTCCGCTAAGGCCCGCCTAATCCTGCGTGACAATGGTCGGGGGGGTCCCGTTCTCGCAGGATCGATGCGCCCGACAGGTGGCGCTGTTGCCAGGGATCTCGGCTGCCTACCGAGGTCCAAAGTGAACGAACCCTGGTTAATGATTTTGGAGGGTCGATGATCTCAGGCAAGACGACAATTTTATTTGACATTTTGATTTCTGGTGTAGAATATTTGAGGGTTGAGTGATTAACCTTTGGTATGGGAAGTTAAGTAAGAGGCTTTACCGCCTTATCGAAGAAAAGGCTTAGACTTGATCAGGTTAAGGCACTATGAGCCTTTATTAGTATAAAAAACCCAGTAACGTAAAAGTTGTCTTTTTGTTAAGTAAATGGGATTGGATGTGAGAGTCAGGTCATATAGATATAGGATATGTCTAGAGATAGGAATTGAAAGGTCGTGCATGTATGTATACATGATTTTTGTATATTATTTGGGGATTGGATTTTGGAAAGTCATTTTGTCCTTCCCCTTAGATTGGATGAACTAGGGGAGGTTTACAAGATGACCCTTGATAAAGATAGAAACCTTATCATAAAGGTCTGGTTACTGATTGATGTTTGGGCAGGAAATTCGAAGGAAAGTCAGAGATTGGCAAGGATGGCGCATGCCCGAAGTGATCCTTGTGTGGGTTTGCCAGTCCGGAAAGAGGGAGGATTGGAGATGACTCTGCCACGAAGATTTAGGATTGGGGAAGATGCGTATTCATGGTGGTGTAAAAAGGTGGATAAGGATGTGTTCACCTGGATTGAATCTAGCCTGATTGGGAAAGATGAGGATGTGCTAGTGAAAGTACTCCTCTACGTAGCGCCTTTCTTCTGGACCATGCTTGGGACTGAGTTGGCTATGGGAAACAAGAAAACTCTGGCCAAATGGCTAGGGTTAGTTGAGGCTGCCGTACTAAAGTGGACAGCGGATATGCCCTACGCAAGGGATGAGATGGTGTATGTATGTATGGGATTCCGAGATAGCAAGGACTTCATGCTACCCACGACACCTTTGAGGGCTGTGATCCCTGACGACATAGTGGAAGTCAAATTTGGAAGTCAGGAAAGGGTGGAAAGGGCAGCGGGAGTCGCAATGATCCTGCGAAGTCTGAGTATGAAAGGTACGCTTGTGAGGTGGTTTACAGCTTGTACCTTGAGTTAGGATCTACGCTTAAGGAAAATGAGTCGGTGAGGGTGGTACAAGATGTCATAAACTACCTTTCCCTTTATGGGCCAGATGATGGACCGGATTGGTGGAACCACCTTCGGTACGAGGTAAATGCGAGGTAGGACCAGGGAAAACCTAGTCTTGCTTAGACCCTTCCTGTGTAAATAAACATTGTAGGGAAGAAACAGATGGGATAGGGAAGGGTGATTTGGTTTGAATCTGTATACTTGTGGTTGTGTTGGCAGGAAGGCGATCGAAAGGCAAAGAAGATGGTGGACGAGGTGGTTAAAAGTGTTAAGAATGGAAGTTTGACGGCTCATTAGCCAATTACGGTTGGCCAGCTGGTGACATTGTTGGAAGGTTGGGAGGTAAAACGGTCAAACATCCCTAAGGTCCAGATGTTTCATTTCAAAGGAGATAAAGTGTCAGAATGGTTAGAATTGCTTGAACAGATCACTGACAAAATGCCTGACGTGGAAAAGTTTCGTCAGGTACCGAAGTATGTTTGGTGGGAGATGCAGCCAGAGGTGATGCGCGTGGCCAGTGAGGCCAATGGCAACTGGGCTAATTTCAAGGTTGAAATGCAAAGGCGGTACCAGTTGGGGGATGGACTCCTCACGGTGGAGGACTTGGAAAGGTTGGAGCGGTCAGACTTCACGACAATAGGAGCCTTTGCAACCGCTTTTGAAAAAATGGCGAGGAAAGTCCCAAGACTGGCGGAAGAGACCCAGTGCGCGATATTCCTAAGCAGTTTCACTGAGTGCGAAGGGGTGTCGCTCACCAGGAAAGGAGCTGTGGGGCGAAAGCTAACTTGGAAGACCATCAAACAAAGTCTGGCTGATGGGGAGCTGGATCAAGTATACCAGTTTCAAATGAAACAGCAACGCCAGAAGCGAAAGGTTAGGGTTGCCGCTGAAACAACTGGAATTAATCTCCAGCAACTTATTGCGGATGGGATAGCGCAGTATCAGGCTACCCAGCAAAAAGCGGTAGGAAAGCAGGTGATGGTGGTCACTCACCCGGCGACAATGACGACGAAGAAAGGAAAAACAGTGGAGCAGGTGGAAGAAGAGGATGAGGAGGAGGAAGAAGAGGAGCCGGTGAAGCTGACGAAAAGTCAGCGAAAGGCTAGGAACCAGGCCATGGGCGGTCAAGGGACAGGAAAAGAAGTACAAACTTCGACCCCGGCTCATGCGAATGCTAATCAAGTAAGTGCAGTAGGAGTTCCGCCGCAAGCACAGGCTTCGCCACCACAATGGCTAGGAGTTTTCCCCACAGCCTGGCCAGGATTCAATCCGTGTATTTCATGGCCATATTTCGTCCAGCAGGGACAATTTACAGGAGGGTGCATGCCTCAATCCATAGGAGGGTGCGCAAATGCTTCAGGCCAAGGAGGAGAACAGCAGTAGCAGCAAGTAGCCGCGCTTCAGAATAGCCAACCCAATCAAGGGGCTGGTCAAGAACAAGGCCAGCAGCAAGGAGGAAATGGACAGGGTGGCCAAGGGCGAGGAGGAGGAGATCGTGGCGGTGGGTTTGGCAATGGTGGTCAAGGAGGAAGAGGTGGAGGTTGGAATGGGCAAGGAGGAGGCGATAGGCCTCGATTTGATTGGAGGAATGCCACTTGCCACCATTGTGCGCAGAAAGGACATACTTTGAAGTTTTGCCAAATCCGAAAAATGGACGAGGATGAGAGATTGATATCTTCGAACTTGGATAGAGACATCTATGACAAATTCGGAGAGTATATAGATCCCAAGGTTCTAGGCGGCATTCGAAAGGAGGCGCTCCGACGTGCTAATCAGCAGCCTGCTCCTCCTGCTATGTTCAGACTATGTCTGGAAGAGGAGGTGGATAAAGGAAACGACGAGGTGGATGTTGGAGTAAGAACGGCAGGAGATAATAGTGAGAAGGGTGGTGTGGTAGAGCGAGAGAAGGATGAAGAAAACTGTCAGGAGACGGTGGGAGAGACTATGCGGCACATGGAAAGCCTCTTGGGGGAAATGCAGAGGCTAAACTCGGAACTGAGGACAATTTGTGATGAGGTAAGTAAACCGATGGTTTACTTGTTGGGACCGCAAACAGGGTCATCAGGTGCTAAGCCAGCACGCGGAACTTTGGGTTCTAGAGGGCAATCGAGGGCACCACAAGCTATGCAGACAAGGAGCAAGAAGGGTAATCCTGCCAATGAGGTAGAACCATCGAATAAGGGCGAGCCGCGAGAGAAGGGGCCAGTGACTAAGGTGGATACAGGAAATGAGAATGATAATGAGGATGAGCGATTAAGGAAGGAAGAGGAAGAGCAAGCTGGTGAGCGTGCCAAGAAAAGGAAGGCTGAGGAGTGGCCGGAGACGGTAGCAAAAGGAGAGACTTCTCGCAAGCAAAGATATGCGGTACCTTTGGAGGAAGGATTGGATATTGAGGGTATGGTGGACACGCTCCTTAAGGGTCACAATGAGTTGTTGAACCTGAAGGACATCCTTGCGTCAACGTCAAAGCTCCGCGAGGAATTCAAGGCTAGACTTTACCGGCGACGAGTAGCAAGTGTGAGGCTTGGTGATCTTATCCCAGCTGAAGCCCATTGGGCGACTCCTGGAACTAAGATGGATTGGAAATCTGTCGCGAGCGGGAACGTGAACCTGATCATAAAGGGGAAGTCGTGTAGTGGGATGCTGGACACGGGAGCAGAAATGAATATCATTAAGGAAGCAGATGCGCTTCGGCTAAGACTGGATATAGACAGGGAAGACATGGGTTTCCTATATGGCGCGAGTGGACGGACACCCTTCATCGGGACAGCCGCGAATGTCGTTGTGGAAGTGGGGAAGGTGAAGGTAAGGTCCTGCTTTTATGTCATGCCAGATTTGGACCGTCCTCTGTTGCTAGGAAGGTCATTCCTTTGCCGAACAGAGTCAGTGATTTTAAATAAGCACGACGGCATTATGTACGTCATCCTGAGTGATCCGGTTTGCCGCAACTACGAGATTATTACCTGTCATAATACAGGTCCTCGTAGTATGAGGAACAGGCCTAACCCAGGTTTATTTACCTTCGAGGAGTTCGAGAAAGAAAGGAGGCGGTTTATGGGGAACGATGAAGTGGAGAGTGAGCCATATGGTGAGATGTTGCTGAGCTTGACAAGTATCAACGATGCAATGGAGATAGTCTCAGCGTATGGAATGGCGGATCCTGTGGCGGTACGGGCGCTGAAGGAAAGGGTTGTGGATCGCGAAGGTGAAGTGGAATTGGTGTATCGATTACCAAAGAAGGAAGGACATATGGAAGAATCTCAAGGCCATGCTGCGAGTCAGCCTTTTTTAGGGGTGGACTCAAACAAGGCTCCTGAAGGCGGTACAAACGCGTAAGCGAGAAGTGCCGACCTGTTCTAGTGCTCATAACGGCGGAGGATAAGTTCTATTATGAGCAGGAACGGGAGATGATACGGCAAATGAAGGAGGATGCGGAGCGAGGGCTGTGCCGTATCAATGAGCAAACGGAGGAAGACTTGATAATAGGCGAGCCAGGTTTTCTGTTTCCAGAGGAAAGAGCCTTGATGATAGCCACTATGAAGGAGCGGCATCGCGCGTACGCGTTCAATGATGATGAGCGAAGGCGCCTCGATGTGGATAAAGTCCCTATGATCAGGATCCATACGGTGCCTCATGTGCCATGGAACTTGCGAGGAGCGCGTTATCCTAACCCCGCGGATGAGCGCAGGGTGGTCAACTATATTGACGATAAGATTAATACGTACGTAGCTGACTACTCGAGCGGACCTTATGCTTCACCTCGGTTTTGTTTTATTAAACCAAATGGCACATTGAGGTGGGTACAGAATTTGCAGTGCTTGAATGTAGTGACGATACGAGACGCAGGAGGTTTACCGAATGCGGATGCACTGTCAGAGTCCTGCGCAGGCAGACCAATTATTAGCCTGATAGATTTGTACTCAGGCTATGATTAGTTTCCAGTATACCCACCAGACAGGCCTGTGACGGCGATGCATACGCCAAGGGGGTTGATTCATATGAATGTGGCGCCGCAGGGATGGACTAACGCGGTGGCAATGGTGCAGAGGCATATGGTGCGTGTTACGGAAAAAATTAATCAACATATCACGCAGCCGTATATTGATGATCTAGCCGTGAAGGGGCCGAAGAAGAAGGATGAGACGGAGGTCATGCCCGGAGTAAGGAGGTTTGTCTGGAACCATATACAGGACGTTGCTTGGGTCCTTGACACTTTGAAGGATTATAATCTCACGGCGGGTAGGGCAAAGTCAAGACATTGTATGCGCGAGGCGACCATTTTAGGTTTTGTATGTAGTGAGAGCGGCAGCCGACCGGATACTAAGAAGACTAACAAGATACTTGAATGGCCGACGTCATTCAGATCTGTTAGTGAGGCTAGAAGCTTCCTGGGGACGTGCGGGTTCTGGCGAGCCTTTATCAAAGACTTCTCAGGGAAAACTGGGCAGTTGCGGAAGCTTGTGCGCCAGGATTAGGAATGAGAGTGGGATGAGAAGCAAGAAAAGGTAGTGGATGGACTAAAGGAGGAATTTAGAGATGGAGGTTTGGTGCTCGGCGTACCCGATTTTGAAGCAACTTTTATTCGTCCTTTCATTGTGGAGACGGATGCAGGGCCAACAACTTTGGGAGGTGTGCTCATACAGGCTGACGTCAATGGCGAGGAGAGGCCGCTGAGATTCGAGAGCCGAACTCTGAATAGCGCTGAAAGGAACTATTCACAGTTCAAGCGTGAGACGCTTGCGGTCCTCCACTGCCCGAGGATATTTCGCATTTACCTCTTTGGCAGGAGATTCATATTGAGAGTGGATCCGACTGCATTGGCAGGATCATTGAAAAATTATGCCCCGTCAGACCCTACTATCGCTAGGTGACTCACATACATATGGATGTTTGATTTTGAGTTGGAGCGCATTCCAGGGGATAGAAATCGGGCTGACGGGCTAAGCCACATAGACTGGGATAAGAGTGAAGGAGAGGCCAAGGAGGGCACACCTCCAGTTGATGCATTCCTCGATGAAGAAGAGGATGTAAGGCTCCATATTAATGCATGTGCGGTTGGAATAAGTGAAGTAGTAAGACAAGGGGAATCGACTTTTCTTGCGCCAGCAGGCTATGTGAAGCGGTCAGACATAATCCTCAAAACTTTTGAGGAGGAAGATCCATGGGGAGGTAAAGATGTGAATGGATGAAAAAACTCGCTCTGGCAGAAATATATCGACTATCTGAAGAGTGATTGACTATTGAAGAAGGGATTCACGCGATTGAGGCGCATGTTATGCATGAGGCGGATGTCAATTTCTTTATTAACTCGATACTGCAAGTGCAGGAGGGTGTGAGTAGAAGTCAGGATCCTGTAAAGGATATGGAAGAGGACGAGTTTGAGGAGGGAGAAATAACAGAAGCGTTTCGTACCGAGGAATATGATGGCGTGTATCGGAAATTGGGGTTGTTTCTCTCATGTGAGATCAGGGAGAGAGAGACTTCCCTAAGGATGCATGAGATGCGGCCGCGATTTGTAGTGCATGACGCCTCTTTATAAAAAATGAGGCTGGAAATCCAAGGCGAGTGATTTGCGGGAGACATCGCCAGATCGATGTGATAGCAGCACTGCACGATGGACCTGCTGGAGGCCATAGAGCTTTTGCGCTTACTTATGCTAAGGCGCGCGAGCTTTACTACTGGGAAGGTATGAGCGAGATGATTCGTAAGTATTGCGAGTCGTGTGTTCCATGCCAGATTAGAGCCTCAACGAAAAGGAGCCTCTACATCCGAGGATTGTGCGAGATGCGGGGGCAGTGGTCCATTTGGACCTACTGGCCATGCCACCGAGAGTGGGAGGCTATAATTACATTTTCGACGCTCGTGATAATCTCACAAGTTTTGTGGATGGGAGGGTCATCCGCAATAAGACAGGTGAGACTCTGGCTATGTGCATCATGAAATACTTTCTCAGATATCCCTTTGTCATCGAGTTTGTGATGGACAGAGGTTCCAAGTTCACCTGTGGAGAGGTAAAGGACTTGCTGCGAAGACTCAGCGGCGAGGCGATCGTAAGAGCTAAGTAATGATGCGCCGCAGCCTTGGTGTCATGATTAGAAACACATGTTATGTTTCCACAAATGGATTGAAAAGTAGGTCCATGTAATTGATCAATACTTCGTAAACAACACAACCTTCCGTTGTTCAGGTCGAAACAATGGTGCAGAGATTGCTAAGACTGAATGCAGAAAATATGGTCAAACATCTTTGCATGTGTTCTCAGATAAAATAGATTATGCTCAGGCACAAGCATCTACTCCTTATGGAATCTTAGGTGTCAAGGTGAGCCTATTAAAGCTGAAGCCGGGTCAAATTTCAATCGATTTTTTGCATAGAAAAAATATTGCATAACAAAATAATCTATTGCGTGCTTTATCAACTTGCTTGATTGATCAAAACTTCTGTTTTTTTGGTTGGTTTTGGATTTTTGTAAAGTTCTACTGAAAAAAAAACAGATGAAGGCGCTTTGTTCACCTTCTTCACTCTAGTTACTGGAAGTTTTTGGGGAAAACCTATGTGGGGAACCTTTTGGGTTTGGGATGCTCGAAACACTTCCGTATTAATACTGCTATTTATCTATTTAGGTGCACTACGTTTTCTATTCTTTTCTGCAGATGTAGCTTCTCTTTTTGTTTGTATAGGTCTCATAAATATACCAATAATGAAATTCTCTGTAAATTGGTGGAACACTTTGCATCAACCTTCTAGTATTAGCCAATTTGGTACATCAATACATCTTTTTATGCTGATACCCATCTTTCTGATGTTTACTAGTTTTTTGTTGTTAACTTAAAGCTACTAGTGTCTGGCAGACTAATATTGGCTAAAGTAAAAAACAGAAAAATAGTAGAGAAGATAGGCATTGTACTGACTAAACCTCCATAATATTTAACAAGTCGGGTTTTATGTCGATCATATAAAGCACCTACACATAAAAAAAGGGTTGAAGAAACCAGTCCATGACTTAACATGAGTAAAATACTACCTTCAATTCCTTGTATATTCAATAAAGTGAAACTTCCCCACTGAGCAAAACATGCCAGCAGTACTCGAGTCCTCTCCGAACCGTACGAGATAGTCACCTATCATACGGCTCTCTATTCTACTTGTTTCGTAGTTCCAGTCTTCGAGTGAGTGAGTTGAGTGAGAGGCCGAAGTAAATAAAAGAAAACGCAAGAGCGCCCATAGGATCACGTATACAGACGATTTATTTTTAGAATTGAATTAATTTCGCCAGATTACGGAATACATACGTATTTTACGCTTCATGCCTTTTGCCCCATAGGCGCGTGAGCGCTTATAGAAAAACTGGCTTATAACGGTGGAACCGTTAGTTCTTATTTATACAAACAAAGAATCATGGCAATACCGTGGGAAGTCGGTGGATTGTATGTAGAAAAGAAAGCAATTCAATCAACGCGAGCGCCTTAACAGTACCCGTAACGACTGACTCGAAAGAGGAGAGCATGATTGATTTCATGCTAATACGTCAGTACTCACCCAATTTCATTTCAATTGAGGATCTAGTTAGTTCCTAAGGCGAGCGGCTCGACTGACTCCTAATCGTATTGGATCTAGCATATAAAGATGGAAAGCGTAGACGTATGACGCCGCCTTCGGCCTACGAGGTGAGATGGAATTGCACGTGTTTATGGATTAAACAAGATTCAAGCTGGAGAAATGATCGAATTTTCCAGTGGTGTTAAAGGAATGGCACAGTCTGTCGCTTTTAACCAGTCGGTCGCGTTATCTCATTGGAGTATAGCGAAGTGGAAAGGCATCGGTTTTTGATACCAACATGCAAAGGTTCGAATCCTTTTACTCCAGCGATTAATTCCAATTCAGTTTTTGTTTTGAAAGCTGACGTATTAAACTTCGGAAACCTCCAAAAGAAGCCAAAACAAGTGCCCAGAAACGGGTACAACGTTCTATAAACCAAGCAATTATCATCGATCGATCGTCGTGCCTCCGTGTTGTTAAACAGAACCATGCCGGATGGAATGGATGACTCCAAGTGAAATGAAATGTAAATGGACGGGCGCAACGTTGACTGTTACCGCCGCAAAGCGGCGGCCTATTTAATTTCATTTGGTGATCACGGGGGGCACGCAACCCGTGCCGCTGGCCCGGCGGAAACATCCAGGAGGCACACAGTCAAAGATTTGCCTGGTGTAAAATACCATTGTATTCGAGGAGTGAAATACTTACAAAGAATTCCTAATCGACGTCGAGGCAGATCAAAATATGGTACCAAAAAACCCCAAATTGAAATATGAACCGAAAAATCTCACAAGTCTCGCTCTTCGAGCCTTTGATTTTAGAGACGCTTCGCGTCTGAATCCCACGCATTGGAACCGAAGGATGCATTACATCCGCTTCGCAGATGATTTTCTAGTAGCAATCTCTGGTCCACGATCAGAAGCAGTGAAACTGAGATCTGAATTGGAATCGTTCCTTAGAGACAAACTCCAATTAACACTGAGTATGGACAAAACCCATATTACCCATGTGTCGAAAGGAGTACCTTTCCTTGGCCGCAACATCTTTCGAAGTATGCGGTGGCGGACGTAGTGTTGCTGTATGACTCGTCTCTGGAGAAACAATGGTCGCGTAAATTGGACAAGCGATGGTTAGGTCCTTACCGTATTCGACGGTGTGGGCAGCATGGGGCGTATGAGATCGAAGAGCTAGATGGCACGCCATGGAGTGATTGGGTTTTGGGTTCGAAGCTGAAAAAGTTTGTGGGGCGGGATTGAGGTGTGTTGGAAAGTGTCTTAGATGAGTTTTCTTATGATTTGGTTGAGTCCATGATGTGGTAGGGTGGCATATTAGTTTAGCTTGGACTAGGTCTCGGTTTAAGAGTCCTAGGTTTTAGTGAGTAAGTCAGATATATAAGGGTCTATCTATACTCATTCTATTTTGCTCCTGTCATCCATCGTTATGTGTGCAAGGACAACTTTTCGAAGTTGGCCATAGCCAGTGAGGCGGGAGGATGGCGGGACATGGAGAGCAGCGGACAGCCGCGTCAGCGATCCTGGATCCATTTTGCTACTATGGTGGACATGTTTTTCCATTTCTGGATGGATTGGTTAGACAGGTCTGGGTCCTCAGATTATATTCTCTCCTAGTTGATGGAGCGAGTTAGGGGTACAGGTAGGTATGTGGAATGCGTGGCTCGGATTACGAGAGACTCTTTGGATTGGTGTCAGTTCGCCAGGAGGATGCTGAGGTTGAGACCCCAGCCTTTGGATCGACGGGGTAGGCCCATGCATTTCGACGGGGCCAACCTGGACCAGTTTCTTGAGAGTTTTGCCATCTTAGCCAGTGAGCAGAGATGGACTGAGGTGCAGGGTATCCGACAGATTCGGCATTGGGTTATTTCTGAGCTTAGACACGAGGTGAGTGCGTTGATACCCTCCATATTGTCCTGGAGGGGGCTTGAGGCAACACTTAGAGGTGCGTTTCCAACTAGTAGGAGGCGCAGTCTGTATAGGGGAGATCGGGATTATATCCCAGAGCTCAGGATATGGGTTGAGGAGCGACAGCGGGATCGGAGGCAGGGAGGAGATGAGCAACACGATATCCCGCGTGTGCATCATATGGAGAGAGGAGCGGATTATGGTGAGACAACTGTAGAGGCTGCTCATGAGGAGAGAGCCAGTGCCGTTGAGAGGCCAGCTGAGGCTACGACCGGAGGAGAGGAGGCTATATTACCTACGAGTGAGTGGTATGACGACTCGTTGGCGCTGAGTGTGGAGGTAGTGCGAGAGCTCGAGACAGGGAGAGCTGGTCAGGAGGAGACTCAGAGAGTGGAGGAGATTGTTCAGCCAGATGAGACGGCGGTGGCCCCAGACATAGGAGCGGATACGTTGGGAGGTTCGTTACCTCAGCAGGAGAGTGTGTCCCGAGCATCGTCAGGAGATAGGGGAGATCGCCCGCTGAGGTGGAGAGACACCCATGGTGTGATAGATGGGCTGCCAGTGATTGAGGTGCGGTCTACAGATGAGCCGACTACTACATCAGTAGGGCAAGAGCAGCTTGGGGAGGTTGAGACATTGCTATCGCAAGGGGAGCTGCCTGCGTTGGAGGAGGTTCAGACGGGTGAGGAGGCGCAGAGATCTGAGGATTCCTTGACTACCCTACTATATACTATCGAGTCCCCTAGCCTGTTGATGCGGCAGGAAGAGTCCCAATTGGCGGACGGAGAGAGAGAGACGCAGCGTATAGAAGATGAGGTGTTGAGGATAGACCCGGGGGCCCATATGGATGATCTCCACGCAGACGGCTTGGTGTCGTCACCGCTAGTCTTCGATGAGACTCCTCGTCGAGATGACGAGAGAGAGGGAGGCAGTATGGGTGCTCATGTCGAGACAGATATGAGGTCTACTCAGGATGAGCTGGAGACGCAGAGAGGGGAACCCTCAACTGAGACACAGAGGGTAGAGGAGCGCGAGCAGGCTGGTGGAGACACATGGTTAGCTGAGAAGATGAGGAGGATGCCGCCATTACGTTTCCCTAGCTGGGAGGCTTTTGAGCTGGGAGGCCAGGCTGCTAGGCCAGTTTTATCTGAGGATCAGAGGATTGGAGGACTTAGAGTGCTCCATGATGACCTCACACTGCAGAGGGATTACATCGCCAGAGGCCTTACTGCAGCACGCTAGGCGACTGAGGATGTGAGAGACTATGCTCTGAGAGTCGCTACTAGGTCCTTTGAGTTGTGTAGTGAAAGACGGGAGGAGCACGAGGCTTTGGGAGCATTGGTGGAGGACATCCGTTCCCTGATAGAGAGGAAAGAAGTTCAGACTTTAGAGGAGGCTGAGGCGGTGTTGCGTATCCAAGCAAGGGAAGCAAGTGACTGGAGGGCACAGGTACAGAGGGTGCTTACATAGTATGAGCCTCCCGCAGACGCATCAGACAGGGATCGTTTGGAGCGCAAAGTCGTCCTCGAGACCGTGCGTGCCTCAAAGTTGGAGAGTCAGGTATCGACCCTGGTCAGGCTGAGGAGAGAGACGGAGGAGCGGACAATGCAGCTGTTCTACGAGGATGCTGCGACAACCGGATGGAAGGAGGAGGTTAGACTGCGATGACAGACGGCAGCAGAGCCCATGCGAGCAGAGGAGCGAGAGAGAGCGGAGGTCGGACTCCAGGCGAGGTTGTTATCCGAGGCATCTGTGAGAGAGTTGGCGGAGGTCATGCAGCATGTCAGGCGTTTGTCTCGATCTGAGGTCGAGCGGGGTGAGACGTTGCAGGACGTAGTGCGGAGGATGGACGCGTTGGAGAGAGAGAACAGGGGGTTGAGAGATACGGTTCAGGGCCTCAGCCTTAGCATGGAGAGTTTGAGGCGACTGACGCTGCGCATCGAGCAGAGGGTTATGAGTTTGGAGCAGGGGCAGAGGACTCACGTGCCGACAGGGCCGGTTGGTGAGAGAGCTTCAGGGGGATCATATTCTGCTACAGAGCGGACGCGAGTTTTTCGGGAGACGGAGCCATGGACCTTGGGGTTGGGAGTCACCAGACAGGACAGTTGGGCAGAGGGATCTATGGGAGTTAGGCCGGTATCAGAGGGAGAGACTAGCACTGTGGACAAGTTTATGCTTGCCACATGTGAGGTAGCACCCGTAGGACAAGGCCAGGTGCGTACTATGGACCAGACTCCCCCTCTAGAGTTGGGAGTACGAGAGGGAGTTGTGGAGCCCCGAGATGGCATACTTCGAGACGGCGCGCAGGATCCATACGTGACACCATTCGGGACCTTGCCCACCGCCGCATCTCCGAGCCCTGACGTGATGGAGGAGGTGGCTCGTGGACTTGCTCAGAGGTCTGCCGCACAGGATGGGAGGAGAACTACTGAAGGATCGGCGAGGGTGTTGAGTCCTGATGAGGTGGACAGAGCTATAAAGGAGGTGACTACCAGATTGGAGAGCACTCAGACCCAGGCCTCACCCGCGCTCAAGAGGGCGAAGGTTGGGGAAGAGAGCGCGCGTGACAGATGTTCATGGTGTGGCAGGGGAGGACATCATAGGGGAGACTGCCCTGCTTTTCAGCATGATCTTGATAGAGGGATTGTGCAATTTGATGCACAGGGACGCCTTATGGACATGCACCACGCCCGCATCCGACAGGGACGCCATGATATGTATGTAGGTGGCAGTATATAGCAGCCTGGGTTTGACACTGAGGGAGGATGAGTGACGTCCGATTTTTCTCGACTTGGACTTCTGATCATGGGCATGAGGATTTGAGAGGATGGTGAAATCTTGTTATGGGTTTTGTGGTATATGATGGTTACCTAGGACATGTTTTTGGTTCAGTTGTGAGTTAGTCTGGGTTGCCTAGATAGAGATATATCCTGACAGTGTGCTATTTAGGTGATAGGCCCTGGAGGAGGTGAGGATTTACAGTTCCTTGAGTCTATGATACGCCTGAGGACCAGACACAGACTAGGTTACATATGGGGGAGACTTCGTGTGGTTTGAGTAGTGAGAGTGTGAGCTTGTGATACGGTGCGTTGGTCGTATGAGGATCCAGGATGTGAGAGTGACTTGGGGGTGGGTCCTGATGACCAGAGACTATTCTCATGATTGCGAGTTTTCGTTTTTCTGTGAGAGGGTACGTTTGAGTGCATTTGAAATCTTTCTCTTTGAGTTGTTTCTCTCCTAAGACTCGGAGCGTGCTATGTTTGGGTTTGGATTTTTGAGGATTCTCAGAGAAACATTTGTTGATCCAGACTTTGGCACGAAGGATGTTTCATGTACATATATTTTCTATAGGTATCACGTTTACGATACCACTTTCTTTGTCTATCTCTGATTGAGGATGTCTCACCTTTAAGTGTGGATCGTGATGTGAGGTCTCGTGTGGAACCAGGAAGCCAATAAACCTTTCTCACACCGAGTGTGAATCTTGCTCACTCTTGTGTTGATGGTCATTTTTGTATTTGGTTGTCAAATGCATTGAGATTGTTTGACTAACGGATACGTTTATCTGCGCTTTGCTATGGAAAGGCTGAACCAGTATGGCGGCCTAAGAAATGTGGATATTGGGATGGGGACCGTAGAGGAGTCACCCATGGAGGTGTTTATATGGATGGGGGCCCGCAGAGGAGTCACCCATGTGTTTTGTGAGGCGGGGGTCCGGTGATGAGTGGCCCGCGTGATTTGAATAAAGATTGGTTGATGAGATAAAGTGAGGCGCAATGCAAGCCGTGATGATTTCAGTTTGTTTTGCAGAAAACTGCCAAAGGATAACCAAGCTTATGAGATTATTTGCATATATGGTGAGAAGTTCCCTCAAGAAGCAGGGTCACTTGGTTGTGAGGCTCTAGGACCCGCAACCGTTTCTGTCGTGATCAAACAGTGTGACTGCAAGCTAAGGGCTGGTCCTAGGGTATATGAGAGGCCTAAGCCGGGGGTTAATCCGGTATCATTGGGCTAACCCCAGTGAAGGGCTGCTGTCCCGCGCAACCAGGACAACGGACCTCTAGCCTAGCCTGAACTTGGAGCCTGGAAGGGTGATCTACACCTTGTCATCATTTTATTTTATAGTAAAAAGATTATTATTATTATTATTATTATTATTATTATTATTATTATTATTATTATCTATTATTATTACTGTTTACTGTTATCATTATGGGTGGACTATATATTAAGCCAATTACGGGTCATTCCGAAGGACTCTGACTAGGGTGATGACTAGGGGGTACTTAGGTCCAAAGATAGGAGTCGCCTTAGCATTGCGAAAGCAATGTAGGCAACATCGTAGCCTAAAGATGAGATGAACCGTGACTTGGTCTGATCAGCCGAGACATGGTGAGCCTAGGGCAATGCTATATCCTTACCTGTGACTGGACGCCGGGGAAAGGTTAATTGTGATCTTAAGATTGTGAGGAGTAGGCTGAGTGTAGCACTGAGATAGTTGTGAAAAAGTGAGCTACTCAGTGGGCGTAGACCTTTGAGTGGTAAGGCTACCCAGGGGAGTATGCTATTGATATGAGATTCATTGCAGGATTGGGCTACCTGGGGGAGCACACTTTGAATTTGCTTAAGGTACTCAAGAGGGGTTGGCAATCTGCATCAGTTTGTGCTGCAAAGTGGTCCCACTCGTGACCAATTGTCTTGCCCAAAGCTCAAGCCTGAAGATGAGAGTTGCTTGCAACTCGAATTCAGAAGGCACCCAACAAAAATCGGAAGGCGTCTAGGGCACGCGGAGGGGCAAGTGTTTGAATATTGGGGTTGACCAATGGCGGTAGTACAAAGAAAGTATCTCTGTGAGTCCGACAGGAGATGCAGGTTGGAGTCCTGCCCGTCAGAGGGATGTCGCAAGACTAGAATGTTTGATCCAAAGCTGAGCCCTTCCGATTATACGGATTTGGTTATTCCTTTGGTCAGTCTATGTTGTTATTTGGGATTGGCATGTTTCTCCGAGTGCGACGGGGACGTCGCTTAATAGGGTGTGGGTGGACTGTCGTGGCAAACGCCCTTACAAGGGTATTTGCCGTTGTTTTGAAAGGTCGCGCTGGGTCCGACCTTGGCCACGGAAATGCACCGATAGGACGAGTTCTGACGGTACTCGTGTCTTACTAATTTATTGAAGGCAATTTGATTAAGTTAAGTATGTTGAGGTTAGAGAGTGTGTGGGCATACTCTTTTGAGTATGCGATTGTCGTAATTAGCGATTGCAGTCGGATTGACGGTCGACACAGAAACCGGTCCCTTTGGGCAAAGATGCAAAACATGGGGGGGATTAAACTTTGATAAGCAAGTGTCATATTCGCCTTATGTGCGGGCGTAGTAGTTGATTTTGTAAAACTGGTTGTTTTGTTACCAGTATTGAAAAAAGTTAGTTGAACTTTGTTGTCAAATCGATGGAGGCTCGGTGTAAAGTAGTGCCCGCAACGGCGACGGGTATTAGAGTAGGGGTCTTAGTAATACCGAGGCAGCCCATTGGGCCATCACTAGTAGGGGTTCCGTATACCAAGTGCGAAGACCGCGRCCTTGGGGCCAGCGGCGCGATCGAGTAGGGAAGAGAGTCTACTTGAATATGTATGGTAGGCCTACCTGGTGGCGRATATTACTTGAATGAAGTTCCACGTGCGATTRTGTYAGGTTTGGGTTTAGCCCTATTGGTTACAACATTCACCTTCACCAGGGAGATCACCTTCACCGGGGAGATCCGGGGATCGAGGCTAGCAAGCGACGATAGAGTAGAGGAGCGCAATTGGAAGAGACTGAGGGGTTGAGGGTCTTTAGGGACTATCCCCCTTGGTTTTGCCRAACGGGTCCAGCCGCGGTCTAACTGGCGAAACCAAGAGGGCGCCGGCGGAACCTCGTCGTCGTCGGTTCTACTAATTTTATTTCTGATATGTTTTTACTTGTAATTTTTATTTTTATTTTTCWTCTCTTGAAATCCCGTCTTGAACCAAACCGGAAAACTGGCTCTGGGACCGACGACGAAAAAGTACCGCGACGAAGGATGAAAGGAACCTTGAAAGAAAGAAAAGAACGCTTGAAATTGTCGAGCGATGAGCGGATGGAGAGAAGTCCCACACTTGGTCGAGGGCAGACGGCGACTTGGTCGCCGCCATCATTGGCCAGAACGCTGGGTGCCTGCCAGCATGGGTTGCTGTGACAGCATTGCATTGGGGAATGATAGGAACATTCCCCCGCGGGTGGCCGTCATGCAGCCGATGACCTTAAGTACGCGCCTCTTTTAGCAGTAATGTTCGGGGTCCTGCGTATTCGGGGTGCTGACAAAATTCCTCTATCCGACCCGTCTTGAAAGCACAGACCGAAGGGGCCAACGTGCAGGTGAGCCCGTGGGTGCAAAGCCCTCGAAGCAGCCGGATCCCGAGTGGCAGGAATCTCCTGCAGATGCACCATTCGCTAGCCAGGATTTGCTGCTGGAAGGCTTGAGTGTGAGCAGGCCCGCGGGACCCGAGAAATAGTGAACTGTGCCCGGGGAAGGCACAGTCTACCAGCCAAGATTTGTTGTAAAGAGGTTTGAGTGTGAACAGGTCAGCGGGATCAGTGCCACTGGGCCTAGCTCGGTTGGTACACCCGCAGACTGCTCGAAAACAAGTCTGTGGGATAAGTGTCACTGGCCTAGCTCAGTTGGTACACCCATGAACTGTTGAAACCAGGCCTGTGGGACCAGCCCCACGGCAAGTTCCGCTGGTACACCTGCGGACTGCTGAAAATAGGTTATGGAAACATCAGTTGCGGACCTAACTCAGCTGGTACACACCGCAGACTGCTGTGAGCAGGCCTGTGGAAACTGTTGCGGCGGCCTAGCTCAGTGGTACCCCCCATGAACAGTTAAACAGGCGTGTGGGACAGGCAGTTGCGGACCCAACTTAGTTGGTACACCCGCAAACTGTTGAAAATAGGCCTATGGGATCAGTGCCACGGCCTAGTTCAGCTGGTATACCCGTGAACTGTTGAAAACAGGGTTGTGAAACCAGCACCTGCGGACATAGTTCAGCTGGTACACCCGGAAGCTGTTGAAAAACAGGCCTGTGGGACCAGCACCCGTAGGCCAAGCTCAAGTGGTATACCCACGAACTGCTGAGATACAGGCTGGGGTTCGAATCCAGGTACAGTCAGAAAAACAGACCAGAGCCTCGTGAGCTAGTGTGAAAAGTCCCGTGATGGGACTGGGACTTGTTCCCCGGGACATCGGTTTTTAAAAAAAAAAAAAAAAAAAAAAAAGATAAAAGGAATACGGGGGAAAATTAGCTTGGACCCACTACTCGGCACTGCCTCGAGCAGCTTTCCAGTGAGACTATGTGTGGGGAACAGACCAGAAGCCTTGAGAAAGGCCAGCTACTTAATCCAACTAGGCAGAAAAGAGGGAAAAGTTTTTCTCTGTCTTTTTGGTCGAAGAGTCTGCCGGATCAGCCGCTAGCAACACAGCACTGGCTCGGGGAGATGGAAGACAACGAGAATGGCGGGAGTGAGGGAGTGCACATCTCGCACACCTCTTGACAAAGACAAGTGAGGGAAGGTGATCCGTGGAGGTTTCCAGGCAAGGCGAGACGAATGGTGAAGTCGAAAAGAGTGTTCAAACAGTAAGAAAAGGGGTGTGAAAGAAAGAGAGTGWCGGGGTGAAGCCGAGATGGTGAGGGAGGAAAGACAAAGAGAAGGGAAAATTGTGTATCTCACTCGTTCCTTCACGGAAACGAGCCAGATAAAGTGCTAGGTAGGGGTTTAGGCATGCTGCGAGTTGATTGGTGGAGGCRGATTTGGTGATAGAGTGAAGGAAGAAGGGGTAGAAGAGGAAGGGGGTGCGTGGAGAAGTCGAGGGGGAGAAAAGAGAAAAAGAGCGGGAGCTAAAAGCGTGTATCTCGCTCGTTCCTTGATGGATTCGAGCGAGAAAAGATGCTAAACTGGGGTTTTTGGCCATTACGAGTRCRATGGCAATGTYAGAATTAGTAGTAAGATGTTAGTATTTGTRATACAAGTGTTAAMAGYTGCGCGGGAGGTAGAATTTTATGACTATCTACAAACGGTAATGTATCTTCCCACTTTTTAGCGGGAGATTCATTTACTGCAAGTGAGGGATTACCCACAACCTGTGGACATACTTGCCTGCTTCRATGACTGTGAGTTGARTCGCCTTGTTTTCATTTTCCCCACTTCATCATCGTGTCCTTCAAAAATACAGGCCAGTGTCCGCCACTGAACAGCCTTGAAAGTCCACTTGTTTGAACATGGTCATGCTTACAGATAGGTACCATGGCAAAATGCTTACAACAGCAGGGGTTCCGAAGTTGCCTAMTCGAGATTGCAAATGAGATAGATGCGGGAGAGCAAAAGATAGAGAACGGAGGGAGCAGTCGGGGAGAAGGTGCGTGATGAGAAGAGGAGGAGCGACCGTGACGAAGGAAGTAGCAGATAGAGAGAAGAGAGAAGTATCGAGATTCTTACCTCGGATGATTCAATCACCCACCTCGATCTGCATTTGGAGGTTTGATTGTGAGCGAGCCAGTTGATATATATATATATATATATATATATATGTATATATATATATGAAGAACTAGGTTAGAACGGGAGCAGAGGCAGGCTTCGAACCAAGAGGGAATGATATGTATCTTTCCATGTTCTAGCGGAAGATACATTCTAAATGACGAGGCACTATGAAGGTGGAGGAAGGTAACAATGGGCAGTTCTTGTCTTA